ATTATAACTATAGTATAATATACCCAAAACCCTATTCTAAGTGTTAAGGCCCCTACATTAGCTTCCTTGACCGGCTCCTTCAAGGGCTCTGTAGGGTTCTAGAGGACAGGTTGTGGTGTTTAGGGTTTGCTTGATGCCTGAACAGCTGGCTAGAACAAGTTTCGAATTTTGGTTCATAGATGTTCGCAGTATCAAGGTATAATGCTAACCAGCTACAAGATCATCAGACCCTTTCTTATATGCTCTCGGAACTTCGAAAGCTCATGACGCACCATATCACCCAGGGCCTTTGCGGCTGTCAGTTGCGTCGTAGAAGGGGTATGGAGAACCGTTGAGGTTTACCGCACAACAAGTGGTGCCACAAGGGCTAATTGCTACAAGGTTTTATGATTCTAGGACCCTTCTCAGGATCACTGTAGTGTGTGGATGTCTGAAGCGATGCTGGGACAAGAACTAAGGCTAATCAAGGATCTAGAATCTCCGGTGGTTGGACTAGAGAATACTAGATACTGTTGATGAAACGGGACGTTGCAGCACTTCTTTGGTTGGGGTTGCATGCTTGGTGCCTCGCTTTCCCATAGTTTAGGGTTTGGGGATTTGAAATGGCTGCGCTTGGCTGTTTAGGCTCCGGTGGTAGCTTCATGTTAGTGCGAGACCCACCAAACAGAAGATCTCTGCCGGATGAACTTGTGGGGCACCGATACGGCACGGCCACATGTGTCTCAGGTAGAGTGGAAGGGCAATGTGACCAAGCTTGATGCGTGCTGGGCTGAGGGAAGCATCCAGCCCGTCCCCGGCAGTTAGCCTCAGGCTGCCGAGTTCTCTCCAATGGCATTTGACCTGCACTGTCTGAAGTTTGCTGGACCTGGACCCAGCTCTCATGTTGGATTCTTCTCACGCAGTGTTCCCTTCAAGTCAATGTAGAGGCCTAATATAATTAGAGTAGGGTTTTGGGGCCCATATGGGCCCATTATACTATAATTAGAATTAAGGAGCCCCCAAAACAGTAAGGGTAACTACTCAGGCCCCCAAAAAATTACCTATGCTGACTCTTTTGACCCCAAGTCAGCACAGATAATACGCCCGAATCGACTCTGGGAGGTGTGGAGGTTTGGGAGGCTGTACTTAAAGGATCATGGGACTTAGTAAGTAGGGTTATAATTAGGGTAACTATACTTATAACCCCAATTAAGGGACTTATAACCTTACTTACTAAGTCCCATGATAGTCCAAGTACGGGAGGCTGTAGGGTTTTATAGTGATTGATGGTCTTTTACACCGTGGGGTTCTTTGGTGGCATATGGGATTGTACGGACTTCTCTTTGATTTCACGTGTTTTGTTTCGTTTTGGGGGGCCTCTTCTCGGAGTGGATGTGAGAGTGTTCGGCCTTTGCAAAGGCATCGCGTCATCTTGGCCACGGGGTCCCCCTTGTGGCACCAGCAGCTAAGGCGCAGGGCATGTAGTTCATGCTTTGGAGTTTGGTCGAGTTGCGACCTAAATGTCATTCAATAGCCCTAGTCGCCAAACGCAAATAGAAACTTGAAGTGCCAAGTTGCAAAGTGGTGTCTGCCGTTGAACCTGTCTAGCTTTCTGCCACCAATGCTTCAGAGCTTGGGGTATCGAGTTTCAAGTTTCAGAGTTTGTGTGTTTGGGGGTCCTGTATGGTCCTGTGGCACTTAGTCATTAAGGGCCATTTGGCGGGCTTGAGCAGCATGCTTATTTTAGGGACCTGGGGTGGTACGATGATAAATTTGAGTTTAGGGTTTAGGGATTATGGCCAACCGGCGCGCTTCCCCGACCACCTTCTCCGCTGGATTTTCGAGTTTTAGGGTTTGGCTTGAGGGTTGAAGAGTGCGATGTAGTGCCGACGGCTGCGCATGCAGTCTCAAGCACGCCGCACGCTTGGACGTTGAAGCCACCAAGCATCGACCACTTCACACAGAAGACTGAATATTAGAACATAGACGAACATAGTTCCAATATGGTATACTACACTTTACCATAGTTTACTGTGTTCTTCTATACTTAATAAGATAGTGTTAGCATAAGCCCCAACAGCCTTTCAACCCGTCAGTACATTTCATCGACCCTAAACCCTCAGGTAGCCCCAGGAAACCATACAGTGTAAATTATCCCATAAACCCTAAACCTTAAACCCTAAACCCTAAACCCAAAACCTTAAACCCTAAACCCTAAACCCTCAACCCCCCAACCCTAAACCCTAAACCCTCAACCGTTATCCCTTATCCCATCACCGCCTTCAAGAGCCCCTTCAAGAACTTGGAGGATCATGGGACTTAGTAAGTAAGGGTTTAGGGTTTAGGGTTTAGGGTTTAGGGTTTAGGGTTTAGGGTTTAGGGTTTGGAGGATCATGGGACTTAGTAAGTAAGGTTATAAGTCCCCTAATTGGGGTTATAAGTATAGTTACCTTAGTTATAACCCTACTTACTAAGTCCCATGATCCTTTAAGTAGGGCTTCTCGAGTG